TGACACCCAGAGGTGATGCAGGCAGTAGCGGAGGCTGTGCCGAAGTACCGGAGGATGGAAGCTCACGGACTCCAGGAACACCTCGTGACCAGGCCGCCGAAGTCGAGGTTGAAAGCTCAGACCCAATAGGCTCGCCACCACTGCGGACCGCATCCGCAGACCCAACCTGGCATTGTGCAACTTCGGCCTTAGCCGTTGGACTAGAATGAGGAGGGGGCGCACGAGGTAACCCACTGACGAGGGTGGCTGCACTCAAATTCGAAAGAGTACCAGTTCTGCTCGGCAATGCTTCAGCTGCGCGACCTGAATCCGAACACCGTGCCGAGTCTGCGGCGCTCGAGGTCGCGCTGCCGCCACGTCAGGAGGTGGATGAATGGAGTAGATGAAGTCCAGCATTGTTAGCAAGCCTGGAGCTCGCGCTGACCTGGCCGATGTTCTGGTCCTCGAACTCCGTCACTGGCAGCATCCAATGACCTGACTGCGAAAGCTCCAGCTGATATTCCTTTGAGCCTGGAGGAAGCAGAAGCTGGTGGTCACCAGGACCGATGAAATACAATATACCGTTGAAGCAGTCCACGATGGCTCGATTGCGACGCAGGGCCTTGTTGCCCAGCAAAGCCGGCACTGAAGAGTTCGGTACAGTGGGAGCGTCGTAGCTACTTTCTTCACCACCAGCAAGCGCAAGAGGAACCCGACCTCGATTGATACAGGCATCAGCATTGTTGCCAACGCCCTCCACTCCAATCGGCCTATCCATCTTCTTGAACTCGACCTCGACACCGCGTCGAGCCCAAATATCAGAAGCACGCTTGAACCACTCGCTGCTGGTCAGGTTGTCGTGAGCCCCTGGGTCTACCAGCAAGGCCTCGCGGCCATCCGGCAGCCGTGTGCGAGCATGCCAGGCTCCAAGACGCTGTCGAGCGAGCGAACGGCTACGCTCCTGAGTCGGGAAGAACAAACCTTTGCTGCCCGTAGTCCTATGCAGGAAAGGCGAAACAACGGCCGCAGCACTCGCCGCCACCGGCGCCGACGAATCACGAGCAGGAGGAGGTGCGATCGGCGCCGCTGCTCCCAGCTCTGGAGGTTGGTGCGGCGGCGGCGGCATGAATGCCCTGGGCGTAGCCACTGCAGCTGCACGCTTGACAATCAGGGCGGCCTCCTCGTCAGCCTGGATCTTGCGCTTGTCAACCTTCGAACTCAAAATGCTGCTCGGCTGCATAGTCTGAGCATGAGATCCACCACGCTGTCGATCTAGGCCCTTGCCTGTGTCCCGTTTGCCCTTGCCCTTGCGGTTCTTGCGCTTGGGCAAACCTTCGTCGTCGTAGCAGTCATCATCCCCGTCATGATCGTGCCAATCATCAGAGCAGTCCTCGTAGCCATCGAGCGTCTCATCCTCCAGAGCGAGCTGACCGAGATTGCGCATATCAACCGCCGTAGCGAACCAGCCTCCGCCAGCGCTGCCGCTGGGGACCCCGCCATATCCGCCTCCGCCACCGTCGTAGCCACGACCGTCATCCTGAGTGACGAAAGCGCGAGCGCCCTTACCCTTCTGCGGGCACTCTCTGGCGAGGTGTTGGTCGCTATTACATATATGACAACGAAGAACATTACCTCGAGCATCACGGGGGTACCTTTGCCTGCACCAGCTCCTCCACCGCCGCCGAAACCCTTTCCTTTTTGCCTGTCTGGTATGCCGCACCCACGAAGCCTGGAGCAGCACCCAGCACGGAGGAAGCCGCAGCAGCGGCGGTCGGATCATGCTCGTAGTGGAAGCCCTTGCCAAGCAGACCACGACCACGATTCTTGCCACCATACTTGGAACCCTTTCGACTATGGCGACGATGGAATCGAGAGGGTCCTCCACTAAACTGCCTCCAACGTCGTCTTGACATGATATATATATATATATATATATATATATATATATATATATCATGACGCAGAACATCTCCGTGCATCTCTGGATCAACGTCGGCAAGGTAAGTGGCCAGATCCTGCGGGCCTTCATCGAAGTAGTCAGTACCACATCACCCGGGTGACTCCAACCTAAGACCCATGGAGGCCCAACCGGAAAGAAAAAAAAATGGGGCGCGCCGAAGAACCCAGGGGGTCCGGTTTCCGCGGAGGAAAGAAAACAACCCTGGCGATGGGGTTCGAGCACGGGGGTTACCCCCCCCTCAAATTCCGGAAGAGGAATGAACTCCCAGCCGCGGGGGTGCCCGCGCGAGGGGTCCCACCCCCCCAAGCGCAACCAGAGGAAGAAAAGCGTGAGAGCCGAGACTGCAAGTGCAATGCAACAACACCTTAATCGAATATTTGCACGGCAGGACAACGTGCTCTCTAGGAACAACTGCGCGATAGGACATGATAGTACCAGTTGTACTCAAGTACGAGTTGTACGGTAGTAGGAGGGGTTCAGGGGTTCCAACGGCAACGCGCGCGGGGAAGAAAGAAAGAAATCCATGCGCCGCCAGGGGTCCCGGGTTTAACGGGTCGCCGCGAAGGTTGACCCCCCGCGGAAAGAAGAAAAGAAATCCGGCCGGGGGGTTGGGGGGTTGAGGGATGAGTCACGGGGGCGATAGTACCACTAGTCGAAGCATTGTCTTCGCCAAAATACACATTCTGAACTCCAGCCGATGCAGTAGCTGCCGCTCCCGACAATGACCATGATGCAGACGGCGGCGCCGCTGGCGCGGGAAAGAAACCTCCCCTCTGATTGACCTCGCCAAACGTCGGGAAGAAACCCTGGCCCGCGTCCTTTGTCATGAAATGTCTGCCTTTGCCAAGGCCGGCATGCGCTGGATGAGCCGTTGCACCTGGAATGCGCACTGCCCTCTCAGCCGCTCTCATAATGCCATCCTGCATGAGGACGTGACCACGACGACGTATACTTTGAAGCAAGCGACTGAACTCCTCTTCATCTTGAGGCAACCTGTCGTCAAACATGCCGAGTAAGTGGAGCCACTCATCTGGTTGCACTCGCAAGCCTGTCATGAGCATCCAGGCCCAGCCTGCGGGTCCAGGATTCAATCCATGATCGATCGCACGAGACTTGAGCACCTGGAATCTGTTCAGAGCCACGTCGATGGTCTCGTACTGTTGAACCGAAAACGCCATCATCTCCGCCATGGCCTTGATCGCATCCTCTCCGGCTTCCAAAGCATAGTTGCGAGCGAGGGCCCGTAGCAGCACTGCCAAGCCAGTCACCTGGCGGGGCCCTAGTCCATCCTGCAAGTCCAGTACCTGCCCCTGCTGTAGAATCTGCGCATCCAACTCATCTGCGAACTCTCTCGCGGCACCTCCAAGGCGCAACACCACAGCAGCACCCTGAGCAGCTTCTGGGACCTCCGTCGCTATACTCCACAGCGTAACATCTCTGAGCCATCGTCGGAAAGGATAGTGCGAACTCCATTCGGGCGACCATGCCGGTGGTACTTTCATCGAGGCCATGATCTGCGCCTGGTCAGCATATGTGAGAGTGTCAGCCATCGTGCAGATCTCAAAGAGGAAGACTCGCACCTCACAGCCGCGCCCTCGGCGATCGTGAAAGGGAAGAAGAGGACCCAGCGTCGAAGTAGTCGAGCTGGAACTTGGCGTCCAACAGCGAAGCGCACAGTGGAGCCCCGGCCGATGGACCGAGGCTCCGCTACCAAGGTCAAATGAGCGGATCGGCGTCAGCCACGCAGCACAGACAAGGAAGACAACCTTTTCCAGTAGGCGCAGCGGCGCCAATCTCATCATCAGTACAAGCAAAGGAAGAACTGGCTGGCCGCCTTGAGCACAGGCGGCGACGGAGCGGAGAGGCTCAGAGGGGGACGCTGCATATACACTTTGACTCGGGCACCCGAGCACCCGGGCGTGCAGCGAAAATCGGCGGCAAACCTAACCTAACCATATGAATCCGGTAGGACCCCTACAGAGGCAAGCCCTGATTGGGGAAATACCGAACACAAAAGAGAACCAATCCTAAATCTGGAGGCGATGCTGATTTCCGTGGGGTCGGGACCCTCGTACATGGAAAACCCAAGCGCCTGCCAATGGTCAACTGTGTCCACGTCGTGCGCCAACTTCCGGAAGATATCGTGCAGCTGCTTCCACATGTCGGGATAGACGACTGGGATCGTGCCAGTGTCGTGGATGGCGGAGTGGCCCGGGATCAGATCGCAATTTCTCAGGACCTCATCCTCGACCCCATCGGTGAGCAAGCGGCGCGAAATGGGGAGGACGTTCGGGGCCAAGGCCTGGCCGGGTGACGATACCTCGGCCGCGGCCACCTGCGGAGCGACGTCCAGACCAGCCAGGGGCTGGGTGAGCGTGGACACCCCCCAGGCACCTCACCGTCGTTCCTCTCGTCCGAGTCTACGTCTGGCGGAGGTGGAGGTGCAGGTTGCCCAGACGGTGCAGGTAGTCCAGGTGGCAAGACGGCGCCAAGACGATCCTACGACGGCTCCCAGACACCCACCATATGGACAATCAAAGCCCCAAGACGGCCCAGGAGGGCTCCAAGGGACCCCCAAGACTGCTTTACAGGAGGCCACGACAACCCCAAGACGGTCCAAACGAGCTCCTCCTCCTCCTCCTCCTCCTCCTCCTCCTCATCATCATCATCATCATCATCAACATCATCAGCATCATCAGCAGCAACAACAGCCCCATCATCCTCATAATGCCAATCATTCGCATCACGGCATTCCCGAGGCTAGAGACACGAAGTGACACACGCGACGGCCTCGGGTGCCGCCTTGAACAGTAGCCGCCGGAAATGTTGAGCTGGCACGGTGGTGGGACCTTGCTGCAGAGCCTGGGCAGGAGGCAGACCAGGACGAGAAAGAGAAGGGGGTGAGGACGTCCTTGCCACTGCCAGATGTACACTACCTCGAGCCAAGGACTCCAAGCGGAGCTGGGAGCCAGACGCAGCGACTCCCCAACGCATCCCAGAGCGAGCGAGTCCAGGCACGAGCAGGGCGCGATGGCTCAGTTTGAAGGTGGGCGCCGCGCTCCTCGGCCTCCTGCTGCATTGTCAGCCTCTTTTTCTCCTTGGCCTCGTCGGTGAACTGCGCCGCGGGATGAGTATTAATACGAGTCTGCTGTACCCCAGAGTGCGCACCTCACGCCCCCCTGCCTCCACGAACGAGGAGGAATAGGAAACAAAAGAGGAGTTCTCTCCTACATTCCGCTTCTCCCTCCCCCCAGTGCTTCCCCTTCCCTCCCCCTCCCCCTCTTGCTTCCATCTTCCTTCCTTCAGCTCATCTCTTCGACTTGTCCTTGCCCTCCCACGCTCATTCGTACAGGTGCCGTTCCTTCCTGCCCAGTAGCAGCAATTGAGAAACACACCTCTATCTGTCGGGTGAGCCTCCCTGTCAAACATGTGGTCGAGGCTCATGTTCACGCTAAGATATTTGAATCAGCTGCCTGGCCAACTTGTGAGCAACCGACAAGCCCACCTTCGCGCACAGGCTCTAGCACGTTGTTCCGTTTCACGCGTAGCACTGAAGGAACCATGGATCGACACTCAGCCGCGGAAGGCAATACCTTCAGATCCACCAGGGGCTTGACAGCTCAGCCTCGTGAGAGGGCAGGGGGGACAAACAACTATGGCAGCTTCCTGGACATCGTTGGGCAGAAGCTGCGCCAATGCGATGACGGAGAGCTTCGTGCTCCTTCTCCCTCCAAGACTCCTTCACGCTCCTCCCCCTCCTCCTTCTCCTCCTCCTCCTCCTCCCCTCCTCCTCCTCCTCCTCCTCCTCCTCCTCCTCCTCCTCCTACTGAGTAGCTGAATGTATGAGCAGATGAACGCGTAAGAGTCTGTCAGACGCCGACGTCCTCCTCCTCCTCCTCCTCCTCCTCCTCCTTCTCTTGCTCCTCCTTCTCCTCCTTCTCCTCCTCCTCCTCCAACTCCAACTCCAACTCCAACTCCTCCTCTTCCTCCTCCTCCTCCTCCTCCTCCTCCTCCCTCCTCCTCCTCCTCCCTCCCTCCCCTCCTCCCTCCCTCCCTCCCTCCCCCTCCCTCCCTCCCTCCCTCCCTCCCCCCTCCGCCGCTAAATCCCGCCAGCCCCCTTGGCGAATGCAATGTAGCGACAACCCTCTTCCCTGCGGGGAGCCAAGATTGCCCACGAGAGTTCCAAGAGGGACCCACGAGCCCCCACAACGGCCCCAATGGCGCACAAGATCGGCCCAAGGGCGTCCCAAGAGGGCCCCAAGAGGCGATGTTGATGGCACCCCTTTGGATCGATGACCTCCAATGTGGCCCCAAGAGGCCCTCCAGGCCTCCTAGGGGACTCCGAAGCGGGCTTCAAGAGGGCCCCGAGAGAGCCCCAAGACCACTCGAAAAGAGCCCCAAGGGGACTCTAATATCCCCAAAAAGAGTCCCAAGTGGGCTAGGGTTCTGTCGTCGTCCTCGTCCCCGTTGCCCTCCTCCTCCTCCTTCTCCTCCTCCTCCTCCTCCTCCTCCTCCTCCTCCCCGTCATCCTCCTCCCCCTCCTCCTCCTCCTCCTCCTCGTCCTTGCCCTCATCGTCGTCCGTTGCCTGTTCCTCCTCTTCGTCGTCGTCCTCCTCCTCCTTCTTCTCCTCCCCCTGCTTCTCCTCCTCCTCCTCCTCCTCCTCCTGCTGCCCCTCCTTCACTCGCCCCCACGCGGGCCCCTGGGATGGCCCGAAGAGGCCCCCCAAAGCCGCTCCCTATCTCCCAAAGATCTCTCTGTTCACCCTGGTTGCCCGCTTTGTCTCACTATTGCCGTTATTCCCGTCAACTCTCATCATGGGCATCGCTTCTGAATGGGACGGTGTGGATACTCTTGGTGCGCGGGCTCGCGAGGCAAGTCGAAAGCCGTGCAGGCCGGCGGGCTACGCGCCGACGGAAGGAACAAACAGCGAGCAGGAGCGGCCCCATGAGAAGCCCCGCTGAGCTCATCGCGGCCGCAATGGCGCGGAACCAGGACACGGTGACGACGTCCCAGGTACAGGCAGAACGTGGGCTGGTGTGGATACTTGTTTGATCGAGACCGCGGCGAGGAACATGTCGGGCGGCGTCCAGGGCACTGCAGACTAGCAAGGGGAAGACAGAAAGTGGGCTGGTGTGGATACTTTTTTTTGATTTGCGGCCCGCAAGGAAAAGTCGAGAGGGCGGTCAGAACTGGTGTGGATACGCGCAGCGTGAAGACTTTCCTCCACCAATCCGTGCTCACTCGCTCCTCCTCCTCCTCCTCCTCCTCCTCCTCCCCCTCCCATGCGTCTTGACCCTCCACCTCCGTCCCTGTTGCCTCGCTCTTTCCCTCGCCTCACCATCCCTCCAGGTGTCCCCCCTCCCCCTCCCCCCTCTTGTCCTCCCCTCGCCCTCCCCTCGCCCTCTTGTCCTCCCCTCTTGTCTCCCCTCGCCCTCCCCTCGCCCTCCCCCCTCTTGTCCTCCCCTCGCCCTCCCCCCTCTTGTCTCCCCCTCGCCCTCGCCCTCCCCCCTCTTGTCCTCCCGCTCCCTCTCCTCCTCCGCGCTCCCGTGGCCGCTCCTCCCGCGCCTCCTCCTCCCCGCTCTTCGTCGAGGGCCCCGGGGGCACTCGAACGCACCTCGGCGGGCAACCTAGTGCCCATCCAGATCTGTACAATCCCCTCAGGAGTTCCCCTGCGCGCCTCAACATGAAGGGGCCCTGGGACACACACACACACACAACAAAAAAAATACATACAAATAACAATAGTCCCCATAATTTCCCATATTTTCTGGGTTTTTGTCTTCCCTCCACTTTCCATATTCTCCCATATTTTCTGGGAAATGGACGATTAATTGTGTCTGTGTGTTTCTTTCCCTCCTGACAACAGCGCCCCAGTTACCGAAAAAAGTTTGCATCGGCGCACCTCCGTCGTGAGTTCTCCCTCTCCCGACGGCAGCCGTCGTGGCCAACGAGACCACGACAAGAACTCGGGCCCCAACCGGCGACGGGAACCTTGAGACAGAAAGGCCTTCATGTGCGATCCTCCTTCTCTTGCTCATGCTCGGCGGCGAGCCCCAGGGGGAAGAGAAGGGGCGGGCATTCTGAAGAAGGCTCGGAAGTCGCCCAGCCTTCTGAAAAATGTTCTAAGCCTTCCCCGAAGATACCAGAAACCTTTCGGAAGACGCGAGAAGTCCCGCCGCCTTCTTAGAAGGCCTTCTCCTTCTCATTCCACCCCCTCGCTCGCCACCGATCCTCTTCCTGATGCTGACCATCCTTCTTTCCATCTCCACGTACGCACTCCTGCTCGCGATCCTGCTCCCGGTCCTCTCGCTGCCGCTGCTGCTGCTGCTGCGCCTCCTCCTCCTCCTTCTCCTCCTCCTCCAACTCCTCCGAAATGCTGCAGCACGTGCTATATCAGCAAACCTGCGTGGCCGTAGATGTATGCATGCATGTGTAATGTTTATCTGGTAGAGGCGAAGACCGCCCTGCCTTTGTCTGGCCATCCTGCTGGTGAACCTGCAGGTGTCGGAGAGCAGCAAGGCTCTCAGAAGACTGCGGATTTCAGTTCACCAGCCCCTCCATAACCAACGCCACTGGGACAAAACTTCAAAACTACGTTGCATGCATACACGTCGGTCGGAAGAAGTAGGTAAGAACATGAAGTAGGAAGGCGTTGGAAGTAGATTGGACTTCCGCCCGCCCCATGAAGAGGACGAAAGAAGGAAAACCGCTCGACTCTTGAAGTAGGAAGGCGCCTACAATAGATTAGGATCCTGGGAATCCAAAAATACCTACTTTCAACGACCGGCGTGTACATGTCTTTTTGTCTCGGGCCTGCCTGCTCGGTTCGGGGTCCGCCTGGGCGCCCGTGTGCCCTCCTGGGCCCCCCCCGACGCTGCCCGGCTCTCTCCTCCGCCCTCCCCTCGCCCTCCTCGCTCGGTGCCCGACGCCCGCTGACACTGTTAGCGGGCCACATGCGAACCCTGGCCCTGCCCCCCACGATTTCTGCGGGGGAGGGTGGGGTTCACTTCGCTCGGGAGCTCCCGAACGTAGTGAACCCCACCCTACCCCTCAGAGATCGTGGGGGGCAGGGGTAGGGTTCGCATGTGGCCCGCTGACTGTGGCTCGAACTCGGGCCTCGAGTCGAGTCGGCGACCGAAAAAGTCCGATCGCCGCGCGATCGACCCCCCCCCCCCCGCGGCCACGCCGCCCGCAACAGCGAGAGGTCCTTGCGGGGTCCGGCCTCGAGAAGGCCAAGAGCAGCCAGGAGGGCTCCGCGGAGCCCAAGAGCTGTCAGAGAGCCCAACGTTGCTAGCGCGTCCTTCGCAACAACGTCCTGACGAAAGCGTCCCGCCTCCTCCAAAGGAGAGGCATAGGTGCCAGACGAGTTGCTTCGTCTAGCCAATCAGGGGCTCATGAAACACAGTGGTATATTGACACAGACCGCCTACCCTCATGAGCTCATTCTCCTTCTCGTCCTCCTCTGCTTTCCTTCCTCTCTTAGATGCTGCCATAATCCCAGGGTCTCAGTAGACTTGCAGACAACTGCTGCATCAAAACGTAATGAAGGCTATATACTATGTCACTGGTAAGTGAGCTCTCTCCCGCCACCGCCTTGCGATGCTGCTGATCCTTCTTCCTGTCTCATCCTCCTCCTCCTCCCTATCCGTCTCCATCCCTCCTTTTCCGCAAGCTCCTCTTGCTGGTGTTCCTCCTTCCACCCCTCTTGTTCCTCCCGCTCCTCCTCCCTCATTCCTCCTTCCTCCTCCCTCCCTCGCTGATTCCTGGTCCCTCCTGCATGCTCTCTTATACTGCCGATCACTCCCGACGTCGAGAAAGACGCGCAACGCTCATGCCGCGAGCCACAGTTCTTCCATTGCACTGTCCTGTCTCCCCCGACCGAATCAGCAAGGCACGAGCACCTGATCTTGGACCTCATCTACGACCGCAAGGGCAACGTTGAGCACGAAAAAATTCGTCATGACTATGATGCAGACGAAGAACAGCACAGCGAATGTAGCGTTGAAGCTATCCTGATGTCAGTCTCCCCCATGGACAGTGCACCAAAATGGCTGGCAACAAAGCGCTAGGAACGCCAGCGCACAAACTACGGCATCCCTCTTCAAGCCCGCACCTCCTTTTCAAACAGAAAGCGCGCCCGCCGCATTGAACATCACAAGCTGTGATGCCTTGTGAGAAGAAGGCTTGGGGCAGCAGAGCGCACTGCAGCATTGGAATTGAGCGCTGGATCTGCTCTGGTCCTCCACTCCCTCTGTGCAAAAGTCCATCTGCTGATGATATTGCCTCGCGCTCAAAGATATATGCAACAACCACATGTCACGTCGAAGGCCACACGCAATTACTGAACGGGGGGCTGTTCTGTATCCGCACTACGCAAGAGGACATGCCATCTCGCCTGTCTCACCAACCACAGCTGAAACTCTGGCGCTGCAAGGGCGGGCGGGAAAGAGTGTGACGACTTGTGGGCCACGTCCCGACGGGTGTGCGCGTGTGAAGAAAAGAAAAAGAGAGAGAGAGAGAGAGTTCCTCCTCCACCAAACATTAGTCTGTGCTCTTCTGTCCTGACAGGCTGGCTCGCGCCCGTCGCCTCTGCACGCTGGCCCGGCCGGGATGCGGCCCATCTCTGTGGGGGCCGACTGGCCGTCTTCGACCGTCTGGCTCGGCCAGGGATCCTCTTGGCGGGCTCACCCATCATCCGACCAGCCATGACTGGGGGAGCTGTGGTCCTTACCCCCCTGGAGGAACCCATCGCCTCGACGATCTCTCGAGAGGGATGTCGAAATCGATGGGTCCCCCAGGGGGTCAAGGACCACAGCTCCCCCAGTTGTGGCTGGCCTGGCCATCGGTTTCGCCCCTGGTGCGGCCCGCGCCCTCTTCCCTGGCCTGGCGCGGGTGCTGGCGCTGGCGTCGCCTCCTGGACCGGCCGCGGCAGGCCAGTGCACGACGGTGTTCTCCACCCCGCCTGGCCGTCGCGGTGGCTCTCGCGATGTGTTTCGCCTCGTCTGCTATTCGCGGGGGGTCTGCCGATTCCCGCCGAAGCGGCTTTCTCAACCGGCGCTGCTGGTCCACGAAGCGATCGGCGCGCTGCCACCCGGCCACGGGCGCCGATGCCTACGCCGCGATCTTCCTTCGCGTGCAGCCGGCGCCGAAGCTGGCCTGCACGCCTCCTGCTCCCGCATCGTGTCCGCTTGGGCGCTGCTCTTCGTGAGCCAGGGCAGCGTCTCGAGCTGCGTAGCGGCCCTCGGGCTGGCACCTGCCATGCTGACGCGGCTGCCGCAATCCGCCGCGGGGCGGCCTGATCGTGGGCTGGAGCTCCCCCAGTTTTGTCGTGACTGCCCGGGCAGGCCTTTCACTCACATGTTTCGGCGCGCCCATACCGTCGGGCTACAGCGACTGGCTCGCCGTATTCCGCCACCCACGCTGCCTCCTGTTTGTCCAGCCCTTGCTCACCTTGCCTCTCTGTGGTGCTCGGCCAATCTCCTGCATTGCTTGGCCGCCCTGGCATCTTCCACTAGCACGCCTCGACTGCCTCTGTCCGGTCATTCCATCTGCTACGCCACATGGAAAGCTGGCCCAAGCGAGTCTTGGCCCAGCGCTTCGAGACCGTACCGCTACCTCGCCGCTGGAAGAAGGAGACGAAGAAGAAGAAGAAATGTGTGTGTGTGTGTGTCGGAGTGTCCGCTTTGGCCCACTATGGTTGCAAGTCGTCTCCGTATAACCCAGGATTGCCGCCCAGATGGTTCCCCCCCCCTGGAGCTCGAGAAGCCCTCAGTCGAAGCCAGGACGTTGCCTCTTGAGGGGTCTTGTCGGGGGCGCGTGGAGGCTCTCAGGGTGGTCTTATTGGACCCTCTTCTGGCCCTCTTGGGCGATCTTGGAGCTACCTTGAAGCCCCAGCAGCAAATCGGACACGAAAAGGTGATGAGGCCAACCTAAGTCAAACATAGTCGATGTTGAAGCTGTGCATCTTCGGCAAGCTCCGTGGCCACTAGAAGCGGTCTTGGGATGGTAGTTGGGCTTCTTTGAAGCATGTTTGATGCCAAAGTGAGCCATATTGTTGGAATCAGATGGGTGGCCTACGTGAGCACCCCTTCACTTTTGATCGATAGCCTCCAAGGCGGTTCCAAGAGGATCTCCAAGGCCCCCAGAAACGCCACAAGAAGATTCAGGAATTGCCCTGGCCAGCCCCAAGAGGGCTCCAATGTGGCTCCAAGAGGCGTCCGAGAGGCTCACAGGGTGAAATATCAGCGAAAGCCTTTATGGTTGACTCCTGTCGTCGAGATTTTTCCTCCCCCACTCCCCCTCCTCCTCCTACCTTCTCCTCCTGCTCTTACTCTTTCTCCTTCCCTCCTTTTCATTTTCATCATTATGTTTCCTCCTACTCATCTCACACAGGCTTCACAATACATTAAATGGAAAAATGTTCCGTCTAATTCCAGATCGCATTCAAGGGCAAAACATTCTGACGCCAAGAATGAACTTGATCACACGAGGTGCCCACAGCGGTCCAGACCCCAAAGAGACCACGACATCTTGTATAGTGTTCTCCCCTCACAGCGGGTGGTGCGCGGCATCAAATAGCGAAAATAAGTGTCTCTGTTGCACCCGTAAGCTATACCATGCTCAAATAAGTCACACCCATCAGATGCCCAACGTGAAACACCCATATGAAAGTGCACAAGTTTGCTTCCAAATGCAGCACACATCCGAAACAACCAATCCCCAACGAAAGCGGCGGTTGACTCAGATCACCCGCTCCGCTGGTACTGGCGTCTCTTAGGCACGTCGTACGCAAAAACGTGCGCCAGAAAAAATCCATATCAACACAAAATAAGAACAAGCTCCTTGAGGTGATCTTACATTTACAACGCCAACATGAAGCCACAATGCTTTGTCCGTTGCACTCGACCGACACCGGGTGAAACGCGGCACCCGCTAGCGGGTGACCCGGAGCAGCCACTTCTTTGGTACCACCACAGCGTGCAATGATCAAGTGGAACGAATTTGAACGCCAAGAATGAAACCTTTACATCCAGCATGGCAGCATGATAGGATTTTCCCAGTGAGCTCCGCCAAGAGGGGGTGACAAATGTCACCCGCACGCAGGTGACCAGGGTCACCCGCTCGCTGGAGACATGTGCCTTCCAATTGCCGCTACATTCGGATCCACAACGACAGAATCAACGGCCATGGAAGTCTCAACTGTTATATCATATGCGTGGAAACGGAAATAATACATGTGACGCAACACGCATAACCACGCTAATTGCTAGGAGTACAGAACCGGTCCGAAATGTCGCTTGCAACCATAGGTTTGTCTGTATCGTGCCCTTGCCTTTTGGGTTGAACCCCTCTCTTGCGACGCATGAACCGCGCCCCTCGACGCCTCGCGGTCAACATGCGCTCGTGTGTTGAGCCAGGCCCATGCGCATTTATGCCTGTATGCCTTCCGAGGAACAAATCGGCGCCCACGTCAAAATCGTGGGCGTGAGCCTTCCATATCATCCCCGAGGCATCCCCGCAAGCGCAGCGGCGGGTTCGTGCCACAACGAAAACTTGGCGAGAGAGAGAGAGAGCTAACAGAGGACGATATGACGGGAATCTGCCCGGGGAAGCAGCGATCCAGCGGCTCCGCGGATGGAGCGCCGCCGAAAACAAAAAAAAATACCCTTGCGGCAGAATACCCTAAGCGGTAGCATAGGAAGACGTCTCGGATGCGATGGCGCATGCAAGAGAGCATTTGCGAATACGAAGGGGTAAGGGTAGGGACGTGGGGCTAGAGACACAGGATCGGGGTGATGGGTAAGGTTGAAGGGACAGGGATGTACGACTGAGGATAGAGATCGGGAGACGACGGGAGACAACAGGAAGCAACTGGAAGCAACGAGACACAAAGGGAGACAGCAGACCACAAGAGACAGCACGAGACAACGGGAGACAACGGGTGACAACGGGAGCCAACGGGAGACAACGGGATACAGCGGGCGACAGCGGGAAACCGCGGGAGACAGCGGGAGACAAGGGCGCCGCACCGATCCCGGATCACGGGACCCCCTTGCTCGACCTCCTCCTCCTCCTCCTCCTCCTCCTCCTCCTCCTCCTCCTCCTCCTCCTCCTCCTCTTGGAAGAGACATCCAGGACTCTCACAGGCAAGCAGCTTAGGGAATCGCATGCTTTGCAGAGGCGTCGGGCTCCAGGGGCCACGCGCACGGGCGAGAGTCGCTGGCCTGTGCGGCCAGAAGCGTGCTGGGATCACGGGTGCGACGCAGTCAGTGGGTGAAGACTTCTAGCACGGGCGGAGAAGCCGCCAAGCGGCCACCGCAGTTGCCAACGAAGCCGTCAAAACGCGTCCCTCCAAGATGTACGTCCTCTACTTTCAAAGACCGCAGCAAGACGGCTCCAAGTGGCCACGGAGCCTCCTAAGGATGCCTCAAAGAGGCCAACATCCTCAGCATCCTTCAATGACTATGTACTTCTCGTCGTTTTGCTTCCGCAACAAGATATATCCACACCGTCAACGAGTACACAATTCTCGCTGTTTCGCTTCCGATGACCTTCTGAAGCATCAAGATGAATCCAATGTCGCCGAACATAGCTCCAAGAGGACCCCAGAAGAGCTCCAAGAGGACTGCGACGACGAGACCGATGGGGAGGACGAGGATGACAAACATAGGTCGAGGAAAAAGGGGGAGGGCGAGAAGGACGTGGATGAGGGGGAAGGACAAGGAGGGGGGGGATCCTCGATCAAATACGTCAGGTCGATCCACCCCTCGAGGGTCATCGACTGGAAAATGAGCAGGAATGCGCCCGCGAAGTTCTCGAAATGGACGAAATCCGTCTGGGCGGTGTTTCACCCGCTCTCGTGGGTGGAGTGGGGGGAGGAGCAGGGCAGGACGCGTAAGAGAGCAGCTGAAAGGGAAGAGAACGACGATGAGGAGGATCAGAAGGAGCAGGAACGGAATGGGGAATGGGATGGTCTGGGCAACAGGCACAGCGTTGACCATGAATTACAATGTGTCGTTACCCTTGGCAAGCCTCTCTCTCTGTAAAGGAGCAGAACAAGGGGAGAAGGTGGGGGGGGAGTACACGTCGTTCATTTCTAATCGTGCTCATTTCTAGTTGTGCTCGTTTCTAATTGTGCCTGGCCCCCTAGTGGCCAGGAAGAGGCCCAGGATAGAACACGTAGAAATGAAAGGGTCTTGGTCCACCCGAAAATTGAAGAACTTTCGAAGAATTAGAAATGAACAATGGGTACGGTCGCGAGGAATCGGGCTGCCCCTGCTCGGGGCCCGAGGCTCGCAAGCACGCGGCGAACAATAGCGGTCTTGACATCTGCCCCGCCCGGCCAGGAGGCTGCCTGGGTTCTCCCGGGCCGTGTGTGCTTACAGTTAAGTCGGGCGCGTCCCACTACAGGGGGATTTTTTGCGAAAAATAAAAAATACTCAAAACATCCCCCCACATGGGCCAAAATAAAAAAACAAAACAAACAAATCGTCCCCAGACTATTTTTTGAATATTTTGAATATTCCTCCTGTGGAGGGACACGCCCGACTTAAGCTTACAGTCAACCCGCATAGTAAGGATGCGCGATAAGGATGCCAGGGCCTTGGACGCCCATTTCGAAGCTTCTCGAGCGGGCCGCGGCCAACGAAAGCGACCAAGGATGGGCCGAGAAGGCAAGGATGCAAGGGCACCCTTGGGAAGGTTGCGTATCCTTACTATGCGGGTTGACTGTACGCTTCCTGACGGGATGTGCACAATGATCTTCGCACCACCTGTGGTTGCGCCCGCCCCCCTTGGGTGCGCAATGGGGCGGCGAAGTGGAAATGTGCTGGAATCGTGCAAGAGCATCTCCGCAGTCCCAATATGAAACGCTTTTCGCGTCATTCGCCACGGGGAAGCTTCACTGCCCCCTGGGAAGCTTCCGAAAACTCCTGCAAACTCAGTGGAAGCTCATGGTGGCTCCGGAGGTCACAGTGGAGCCCCCCCCGGGGATTCTGGAGGCCCCCTTGGTCTCCCTTGGGGGCACCAGGAGACCTCACAGGAGCAACTTGAAGCCACCTGAAGGCCCCGTTAAGGCTCAATGGAAGTTCCTGGGATAATCCCAGTGGCCGATGGAAATCCCCATAGAATCCCTGTGAATCTTTTGCAGCATGGAGCATTCCTCTTGCGTGTTCGGCCAAAGGCAACTGCCCTTGCGTGCGAAATGGCGCTGGCATTCCTCAGGCCTGGCTAAAACCGTGGTGAGCAATAACTATGTGGCGCTGGAATTCTGGCGACCACATCGCATCCGCAGGGCGAGCGACATACTCATGGGCATCATTACAATGACCATCGTCAACAATGTCACTGGCCCACAACACGCTTGATCTTGTCGTTTTCCAAATCGGAAGCCTGCCTGGCCGCACAGTGTATGTCACGACGGGGTGCGGGCAAATTTGCCAATCGTCATTGCTCCCTCCACCGTCCTTGTCCACTCTCCTCCCTTACTTTTCCCCCCTTTCATCCTCACCCTGCCAATCTGTTTCGTTTCTCCCACCACCTCTTCCACCTCCTTCCTCTTCTCGTCCTCGTCCTATTCCCCCTTCTCGTTTCCTTCCTGCTTTCCCTCCTCCACCTCCTCTCCGTGACCCACCCTCATAGCATCACCAGACGTGTCTAGTAGGCGCCCCATGAAACGTACATGATGTGACTTTACCATGTCTTGCGCGTCCAAACAATCAAACTTCCATATTCTACACAGACGGGGCAACGCTGGCTGACTGACTAAACAGCAAGCTGCCGCCTCAGCGCTGTACAACATCGTTTTAACTGTTCTCGTCAGGTACACGACGAGCGCGTAAGTGAGTTTCAGCGAGTGGACTTTTCTTCTGCACGCATTCAGGCTACATCTTGCCACAAACTACACGGATGGAGGGCATGTGGATTTCAATCTTTGCCCAGCGCGCCAGAATCGCGCATGTTCGAGCTCAAAACCTAGCAAACAGCCTCATGGGTGAAGGGCGGATGAAATGCATCTGGCAGCGTGGTGAACCGTTGTTGACAAGAGGGTCGGCAGGAAAAGGGCACTGTGGTAGTAGGGGGCAATGGCTGTAGATAGTGTAGTGCTAGGCGGCTTGCGGCGAGCGGAGGCAGTGCAACAGAAGGAGGCTTCACGGCGGGCAGTGCGCAATTTTGGGTTAATCCGCCGACCCCTTGGAATTCATCGGCGCGTGAGATGGTCCCCCCTCCCCAAACCCCTCCCCCTGGAGCCCGGTCCGGTCGATTTGGAGCAGGGGGGAGTCTGTCCAGGCTGGCCAGGAGTCTATCCTTGTAACGTGGATATTGTGGCAAAGGGTTGCAAGTGATGGTTCTGTCCAAAGTTTAAAAAATCGCCTAAAGTTCGCCGGGGAAGTTTGGGTACAGTTCAACAAACATTCAAACTCGACAGGGCCGAATCTGACCCCAACGTCGCCGCGCCCTCACGGCGCCTGTTCCCCCGGGCCCCCGACGCGCGCCATAGGGGTCTACGCTTGCACTGCAATGGAAATGCTGGCCAGCTCGGCGAAGAAGTCTCGCTCGGTTTCGACGCCCCTTTCTGCGGGTGGCCAGAACGGGCGCGAGCCCGTCGCCAAATCGGTGCCGGGGGGGCCCCAGGGAACGGGCACCGCCAGGACGAGGCGGCGGAAATGTCAGAATCAGCACTCTTGTTTGTGAGTTATTCCCAACAGGTTATCTGAGCACCCGCGGAAAATTCTAGGCGGGCGTTAATGTGACACCTGGGCCAAACCATCATTTTCATATTCTCGAACCAACGCCCACCCCCACCTCGCCCCGGGGCTTGCTCAAAACCAAAAGGCGACCTGTCCCCCGTCCGCCGCGCATCTCCCGGACCCGTCATTTGACCCCGTAGCATCGCCGCACTTCCACGTTTACCCGTCGCCTTCCCTGTCTGGGATGGAGGCGGGCCAAACCTGCCCCCGCCTCTCGATTGTCCACATTCCCCCCGAACGACGACGACGACGACGACGACGACGACGACGACGACGACGACGACGACGACGACGACGACGACGTCGCCGACAACGCCGACGAAACGAAACCCACGCCGCGACCACGGCGCACCTCGCGTTCGCAGTGGCCCACAGTTGCCAGCCGGCGGGCGGCGACCGCCACCTCTGAATGTGCGCACCCACGGATGCCACCACTGCAGCCTGCCGCGCCCCTCTTCGGAACAGGACCCGGACCCCTTTTTGTACCCTCGTTCGCGCCCGCACCCAGGGGCAGCGACAGAGGCTTCCTTTTTGACCCTCGTTCGCGCCCGCCCCCGGGGGCAGCGACAGAGGCTTCCTTTTGTACCCTCGTTCGCGCCCGCCCCCCAGGGGCAACGACTGAGGCTTCCCCGAAGACCCCCCGCACCTGCTGATCGGCTCCCAAAATTATCCTGGAGCGCACTGTGGCCGAGGCTTCGAAGCGGATCCGGCTGCGTCGGCGCATGCGCGCCCAAAGGCAAAAGGGCAGAAACCAAGTTCACTCCCCGCCGACGACGACACAAACGACGACGACGACGGCGACTGAGACTGGCGACGGCGACGGCGACAGAGGCAGCGGCGACGGCGGCGACGACGGTGACGGCGGCGACGGAGTCGACGGCGGCGGCGACGGCAACGTCCCGCGGCATCCAGCGGCGCGATCCCGGGACGCCCCCGGATGTGCCCAGGAGTCTCCCAAGGCAGCAATTCTGCCGGAGGGGCATCGAAGGGCCGAAAGCGGGCCACGAGGACATAGGAGGACCCAAAAAGCATCGAAAAGGCTTCCCAGGTGACCCCGCGTGGGTTCTCGCCACATTCCTCATGCGTGCGCGGCGAATACTGAGAACGTCAACCCAAGAGGCCCCGAAAAGGCCCCCAAGAGGCCCCTTATGAAGCCCCAAAAGAGCTCCAAGAAACCCCAAAAAGGTGCACAAGAGGCCCTCGGGAGCAACGCGCAACAACCACCAGTTCCCCAAGGTGTCGGCGGCGTGGCGCAAGCCCAAGAATCGCTGGAGATGCGGGCTGCGCAGCAAAGAAGCGAAAATGCTGACGACGGCCGCTGCAGCAGCGGGGGCCCGCGCGGAGACAAGCCAACACTCAGCACCGCGCGTTCTGCAACTTACCTTCAACTCACTCCGACCCGCTGCGCGATCAAGGGCCAGCAGCGGCGGCCACGCTCGCACCCAAAGCTGCGGCCGCACCGAGGCCTCCGCCACCAAACGGCCGCGATTCGACATCGAGCAGGCGTCCGCATTCCTTGCCACTAGCGCCAAGAGCTACAAAGCCACGCGCGACCAGGCAGTACCAAAGCCTGTGCCTCAACAGTGCCGCGCTGTGCCCCTACTCTACTCACTGGCATATCCGCTTCTAGAGCGAGTCCTGCGCATTCGGTCTGCTGTCTTGTGCTCAAGCTTCGACGACATAATCATCTCGTCGCGACTGGGGTAGCGAACTTGCCGCGCGCGCTCCTACTCCTTGATGCCCGCGCCGTGCATGTCCATGCAATTCCCACTTCCGATTATCGTACGTGCGTGCGTTCGCATCGTTCCCGCTGCACCTCGCCCGCGGCCCGCCATTCTTCGACCAACAATGGGGCCAAAAACGCTCAAATTATGGGTTCCGTCCCCAACGGCCCTTCCAATTCCCGATGGCATCTGGCACATCGACTTCTACGACCTGGCCGGCGCCTATTCGCAATTTCGGAAAAAACTGTGGTGTACATGGGAACTGTCCAAGAAGCCGAACAAGGCGCATTCCTCCCGCTTCGCGCGGGCAAATCTGACATAGTCGAAATCGTGGATATTGTTAGTGATATCCCAAGTCTGCG